AGTACGCAGCCTGCCTCAAATCTGGAGAGAACTCTGGCGTACTTTTTTTCGCAATCCTTTTTCAAAAATGACGGAGCGCAACCGTGTCACGAACCTCTGCATGGGATCTTTTTGCATGAACAAAAAAACGTCCCCAAAAAGGCTGCAACACGCGCAGCAGTAATGCTGCAATACCTATAGATACAGCTATTCTAGAAAGCCATCGTACGACATTTTTTCAAAAGCGAATGTTCTTATCTTATGTCTATCTTTATTCTTTATTATATTATTATATTATTTATTATATTATATATTATTATTATATTGTATATTATTATAATATTATATATTATTATTATATTATATATTATTATATATTATTTATTTATTTATTATATTATTCTTTATAAAGTTTATTATCTATCTTTTTATATATGACTAGTAAGTGTACGATAGTCTAAGCTAAATTGAAAATACATAACCCTGAACAAATTTACTTAACGCTTATTACGATAGGCAGGCAAGAGAGGGACAATATAACAATCCTACCTATACTTCCTTAACTATTACGTAGTCTGGCAGGTCAAAGCGATAGGTGATCGATATTTTTCCATTTACATTGCAAATATTTCCTATTAGGAAGAAAGAAAGAAGTGAGCCGTGACCATGTGAAGAACCCGAAGCGATGGTTTGTTTTTTTTTTTGAGGAAAGGAAGAAAATGAAGTGCCTTTTATTTGCAATTGACGTCATCATACACACGTGTTCCAAATATAAATACAAAATTCCCTTTAGGGCGTCACCACCGTTAAAAACGCAGACTCGGGTGGTGAGAAAAAGCTTTATGACTATGCAATAAGAGTGAAAAAGCCATAGCGCGTTTTGCTTCAGCTCGGGCTGATGACCGGTGATGACGCCAAATGAACAACGTTATTTTCGCTCTTATTTTTATTTCATTGTGACCGGCTTAACGCGATTCCATGTCGATAGGTGTGGTGACTCGAATAAGACTCCTGCCACGGTAAAATTCTCATAAGTCGCGTTACACACGAAGATATAGTAATAATGTGTTGAAAATCATTTCTAAAAATCAGTACCTTACGTCATTCATGTATTATTCAAAATTGCTGAGTAATGTCGGAGTTTTAACACAAGTCTATTAAGGTAATATATCTTTTTCTATTATAGTCATATTGTTCCTCGGATACAATGGATACATATGACGTGTTATGGTAAATTGCAATTTTTAATTTACGTGTTGCAGTGATGCACTTTAAACTAATCTCTCGTTTAATTTATTATCATACAAAACCATGATAAGTTACTACTTATCATGGTTTTGTATAATAAACTTATTCCACAAGGTGCATTGGCTGTTTTACAAGTTATCCATTGTTATATTATAAATAATAATTGCTATTTAACCGACTTAAAAAAAATGAGGCGGTTCTCAACTGGACTGTATTTTTTTTTTGTAAGTATGTTACGCGCTAACTCCGCTGCATTTATGAACCGATTTAGATGATTCTTTTTTGTTGGAAAGAGGGTACCTTAGTATTGGTGCCATTTAAGTTTGAAGAAAATATTCCACCCCTAAGGGTGGCCAACCAGAGAATGAAACTTTCCGGTAACTGATTTCTGTAAAACTTGGCAAATAGATGTAAAGCCACAAACTATTGAGATCGGTTTTTTAGTACTCTGTACCGACTAATTAGAATAGCCGTCTGTCATAAAAAAAACTCGCAGCAGTAGAATTCCTAGTGAAAGAGTTCGTACTGGAAAGTACTGCCGCCTTACCTATTTCTGCCACCAAGCAGTAACGTTAGTATCACTGCGTTCCGGTTTTGAAGGGTAAGGGTGCTGGTGAAATTACTTGCACATGGGACTTGTCAACTTATGTCTCATGACGGGCGTAGTGGCAGTGCCTCTCAGGTCTTTGCAATTTAAAGCTTGGAGTAGACTGCAGCTGCTATGCACAGGCGTGTCGCTTACCGCCAGGCGCACGATTTGTTCGTCCCTTAACTTAGTCTTCTTCTTCTTCCTGTCCTTAGCCGTAGGTGGGGTCAAAACACCATGCATTTTTCTTCCACTCTCCCCTGTCAGCCGTCATTTTTATACCCACACCTTTCTAATCTATATAATTTTTCACACAATCCATCCATCTTTTCTTTGGCCTTCCTTTCCCCTTATATCACTCCACATTCATACCTAGCACTCTTTACGTCACATGACATTCTTCCCTCCGCTTGACAAGTTCATACCACGCTAACCTATATTACTCCTCATCTATTCCGTCACTGGCGCCATTTTCAAACTTTCCCTGATGTACTCATTCCTTATCTTATCCTTTCTCGTCACTCCACACATCCATCTCAACATTCGCATTTCCGATACATGCACAGTTCGTTCATCCTCCCTTTTCATCGCCCAACATTCTGATCCATACAACATGACAGGTCTAATCACGGTCTTGTAAATTTTCCCCTTTAGCTTAAGGGGCATTCGCAGATCGCAAATAGTGCCTTCACTTAGCATCATAAAAAAAGTAATAAATCAGAAAGATAGTAAAAAAAATCAAACCTTGGGCAAAAGTAGAATGTTCGTTGATCGGTCGAATGTTGTCCTGTGATTCACTATGTAAATTTTCTAAAATTGTCTGTTTCTGGTTTGACTGTATTGGTTTCTGTTTAATTGAACAGCAATTTTGTGGCTGTCACAGTGGTCACAGGTGTCACAGCTACGTAGTGGTGTGTACCTATGTAATCTCGTTTCTAGGTTCTTTGTCATTAATTTGTAGAATTTTGTTGAAATATACTATTGATTTGAAATATAATGTTCCCCTTTTGCCTTTACATAAACAGATACCCGAAAATTTCCGCAAAGTTGTCCTGGTCGTCAGGACAACAAAAGCAATGTTTTCGCAGATAACTAAATTTTGCACATTCTGTATTACAACTGTGTATGATTTGATTTTGAAATCGGGACTAATCGTGTATAACACATTTTATTTACTTCGACGTTTCGGACGTTTTGCCACGTCCATGGTCTCACTCTTTGATGATCTCGAAGGAACTTAGTCCATGGATTTTAAAATCAAATAATGAGTGAAAATCGTGAAAATTTAAATCAATGTACCTACAGCTGTGTAATAACAATAAGTGAAAAATTTATAATTTTGGTTTAGTTCACTATTCTTGAACAACAGGAAAGGTTACCGTACGTATTGTTCAATTGTTTTACTAGTGGATAATTATTTTACAAAATAAATCAAATACTACAGTGCATTATCCATTTTCTTCAACGAACAAAATCTTTAAATATCTCTTATTCATATTCGACATTTCATAAAAAAATGATAAATTATTTAAACGAGTAGTCTAACAACGTACAATTAAATACAAAATTTTAAGACATAATCTGTTCAAGGCTCGCGATAGTCCGCGCAAGGCCAAGGCAGCGATTATGCGTAGACGCAGCGTTGAACACATAACAAAACGGCTATTTACATTAGGCTAGATAAATTATTACACAACTTCTTAAAATTATGTTTAACGACAAATGTTGCGGAAGAGACGATTTCCGCGATTGTTGTATCCATATACACACATATACATTATAGCACATATACACATTTATTATAAACAAACTACCTACTACTTCGTTTGTTTATAATAAATGTGCATAGTAAAATAATCGACACTGGAAAGGTAAAATATGTAACGTCCATTTGGAAAAAAATACAGGATAGCGATTTAAAGTAGTTTTTTTAAGAAAAAAAAACGTCACTCTAGTTTTATATTTGTTATATGGAAAAGCTGTAACTTTCTAGTTTTGCATATGACAAATAAAATTAGAAATATAATATTTTTTCTTACAAAAATTATTTTAAATCGCTCTCTTTACGCCTTAATATGTATACCTAAATGAGATTATTGTGGGTTAAAATTATAATTACCTAGTACGTTTTCACAAAACAAATACATGAAGACATTGTTTGTGTGTTAAACAATATTCGTTTTGATTTGGTATTAATTTTTAGTTGTTAAGAAATACCTCATTCTGGTTGGACCTCACTTCAGCACGTTGGACAGCACGTTTCAGTTTTACGTTCATTTTTTGTTGAACTTTATAAAGATTTAATAAATAAATAAAATTTGTATTTGTTCATACAACTAGATCCACAGTAGTTAATATTCCACTTGTGACTACGTTAATATACATAGTTGTCAATGGGCAGTGTATTATTAAAGTATTGCATTATATAGCACTCACTTGTTACAGTTATCATCAGGAAGATGTTAGTTCTGCGACATATTCTAGTTCATTTACTCCATAAACAAAATTTTATTGCGCAATGTGAAGAAATATAATGTATTTTTAATTAATTCATTTTTATATAAACAACGAGTAAGTAGACAGCTACTTAAAATGCACATAAAATGCGTCAAATGTGTATATATTTGAAGAGTACATGGAAAAAAGTCACTTGAGGACAATTTTAGGCAAAAATAATTTTTAATTTGGAGAGCTCAATACTCTATATAAATATTGGTGAAAAAGACAAGCAAAAATGCTACCTGAAATAAAATCAACGCTGGCATAAATGTGTATAACGCTATGAAGTGCATTTTAACTAAAAACCTATGTATCATTTTTAACTTTTGTACTATTTAGTCGCAAGCATTTTAAAAGTAAAAGTTGATTTTTAAGGATCAATGTCCTTAAAAATCAACTTTACCTTACCTAGGTAAAGTACGCTCAGCGTTTACCGAAATAGATGGCGGTGTTAACTCAAAACGTATTTAAAGTGACTGTGATCATTCTTTCCCTGGTCTCTTCATTATAAATAACAAAAAATCAACTTTAGATGAGGAGTCAGCATGCTTCAGCACGAAGCTATTCTGACAATGTGCTGATGTGTGCTGACAAGTGGGGTCCAATTGTTATCAGTACACTATAAACATTTTTTAATCATAAATGCAAAACATGATTATTCAAAAAAATATATGCCCTTTGCTTTCAGTGGTGACCACACAGAAGTGATCGAGCTTGACTTTGACCCAAAGACAGTCACGTATGTAGATCTTCTGGACATGTTCTGGGACAATCACGAGTATGGACTTACTACGAAGCTAAAGAGACAGGTAAATGAGTAAAAGACATAATTAAACCATTTAAACGAATAAATGTATTCGCCACACAACCAGTAGAGGTTCTTGTGAAAGAGTTCGTCCAGGGAAGTACTGCCGCCTTACCTATTTCTGCCGTCAAGCAGTTATGAGAAATAAAGGTGCTGGTGGAATTGTCTCAGGTTGACAGGTGCGGTAGCTGTGACGCTCAGATCTTTGCGATTTTCGTGTCGCCTAACACCTGGCAAACAACTTATATTACATAAATAATTAATTGTAGGCACGTAATTATTTAGTAATATTAAAATTTATCATAAGTGTGTGGAAGAGGAGCAAGCTCATCACACACCGTATGGTTCCTATGCGCGCATACACATTACTGATTTTCGGCTTATTCTCGCTGTTATGGATAAGTAAAACACGCGCACAAAAACATAAACAGCAGGGCTAAAAAGGTCGTATTGGCAGAATCATAATATGACCAACTGACAATTCATGTTCTGAATTTGTTACAATTCATTGACAGTGCTCTATGGAGGTTTCCATGGAACACTCTCAAATAGATGAATTGCATTTTTTGTTTTGTTTGAAAATTCATAATATGAATTGTCAATTAATTATATTATGATTCTGCCGATGCGGCCTTTTTAGCGCTGCAGATTTTAAAACTCATGAAATTCACAGCACACACGTTAATACCAGCAGTGTAACACTCAAAGTAAATAATTACACACATATCGTCTGCTTAAGGCTGGAACAAGTGCCAGATAGACGAATTAGGCTCTTTTTAAATTAAATTCCTGATAATAATAAAAGTCCAATAATCACAAAAAAAATATATGATTGCTAGTAGTTCTTAAATAATTGAATGTATTGAGCAAAACTATAATTTATTAAGCTCTTTTTACGGAATAAAATTTACAGTTACGTCCTTCAAATTGAATAAAAAGCAATTTCTCCTTACATGCAAACATCCGTTGTTTATAAAATTTACACGAAAACATAGATAATTTTATTTCAAACAGAATGTATTGTTCACTTTTTTTAACATAAATAGTTAATAAGTTAAGTGTTATTATTTAAAAAAAATAATTCCTTACCACTCACGAGGACTACGCAGTACTACGCTCAGTCGCCTTTCAGGCTTTGGGATGGGTGGATTGCGCGAGTGTTTTTGAGCGGGTTCATGCCACAAACAGTTGCTGTTTTTAAATAATTTCACTTTTGTTAGTGTTAAATTAAATTTGTATATACATATTTGACTTTGTTTTTATATTTTATAAATTAGTTATTTCGTTATATTTACATTGCATCTTTTTTAATAACTACCAAAGACTAGACAATATAGATATTCCGAAATAAAAAATAAATCTAAGGTGAAATGTGGAATTTGAACAATATACATGCAAATAATATGGCACTGGATGAGTAGGTTTAGGTGCTCCGGAGGAGAAGGCCTAGGTATTCTGGGTAGTGCCGCGGAGTGTTTTCCGTTGCCCTTGGTCTTGGGTTTGATTTCCAGTAGCACCAATTTGGGAAACCGGGACAAAGAGTTACGGAATACACCCCGCCGCACTACCCAGAATACCTAAGCCAAAACAATTTTAGAAAAGTTCATTTCTGAAATTAGTTCTACTGGCAATCGAACACGCGACCAAGAGTTACGAAATACACTCCGCGGCACTACCCAGAACACCTAGGCCAAAAGCATTTTAGAAAAGCTCATTTCCCAAATTGGTTCTACCGGGAATCGAACCTGGGACCAAGAGTTACGGAGTTCACTCCGCGTCACTACCCAGAACACCTAGGCTAAAACCATTTTAGGAAATTTCATTTCCGAAACTGGTTCTACCGGAAATTAAACCCAGGATCAAGAGCTACGGCATTCACTCCGCGGCACTACCCAAAACTCCTAGGCCAAAACCATTTTAGAAAAGTTAATTTCCGAAATTGGTTTTACCGGGAATCGAACTCGGGGCCAAGAGTTACGGAATACACTCCGCGTCACTACCCAGAACATCAAGGCCAAAACCATTTTAGAAAAGTTCTTTTCCCAAATTGGCTCTACCGGGAATCGAAACCGGGACAAACAGATACGGAATACACCCAGCGGCACTACCCAGAACACCTAGGCCAAAATCATTTTAGAAAAGTTCATTTCTCTAATTGATACTGCCGGAAATCGAACCTGAAACCTTCTCATGCGTGCTTTATGTAAAATCTACAAATCGCTTAAAACGCGACCATACACACAGCATATTCCCGTGAGAAGAAATATTCACTTTATTTAACACATTTGAAGTTCTATATAGTATAGCTATTTCCAAAGTTCGCCCTAAGTAGTCCGATGTTGCTCAGCCAATGTTTGCCTTTCTAAGAAATATATCCTTATTGTTGAGAAGCCTAGTCACACTCTGCTAGTACCCGTGGTGGCCCAAGCTGGTGACGTCAGGCTGCGGCACCGCGGGACACAAAGACATACCCACTTTATTTAGTAGAAATAAAACTATACTGCAGTGCATTTTCCGCAGCTTGTTGCAGTTTTGTTTTAAAGAAAATAGAAAACAAAGAAAATAAAACCACCACTAATCCAGAAAATATCGCAAATATTAACTCTCATGACGACGAACCCATGCTTCAATCAGAAAATAGTACTCCAACGTCAATTAAAGTATGTATTTGTTCTCGCTATTTAGATTTTGACGCTTTTTAATGATAACAATTTAGTTAATAAAGTACCTATTTTAATGTATATTTATTTAACCTCGCGCAAAGTACGTATCGTTATACTGTACTGTGTACTTCAGTTAAAAACAAATTAGTCGTATTAGGCGTAATCACTTTTTTTTTTATTATTAATCTAAGTGTTTTTTTACGTATTGTATAAAACAAATTGAATAAATAATACATAAAAGTTTTACTTTCAATGACGCATAATTAACTACCACATATTGACGTTTGTTAAATGCATTTAAAATATAGCGAATAATCGGTTTAATTTTAGTTTTTATTGTATATATATGTAATTTAGTTTTATTTTTACTACTCTTTTCTACTTCTCCTTTATAGTTGAAAATAGTAGTATGGTATTGACTTATACTATACCACTAATTATTTAATTGATATAATGTAACGATCGAATCATTGCACGATTTACCTAATACTTTCACTATTTATGCTGTTACGATTTTGACCCTAAAATATTATGTAATGTTTATTTTTACGATAGTTTATTCTCAAATGTCTCTGAGGGAACAACAACGTAGGTATAGATAGCAAGAGAACACTTTTGACTGTTCTGTACTACTGCTTAGAGGTCAAATCGTCAAAGTCATTCGCGACTGTTCAAGCCTTAAAGGTAAAACCATATAAGTGACATTTTCTTCAAATAATCTCCAAATTATATTACCAGTTGTAAGAAATTCACCGTCTTTCTGCAGATAAAACTTTTATTAAGTTTATAGCTTTTTTGTTATTGAGCTTCACGTGCAGAAAGATAGTGATTTTCTTACTATAGCTATATAAATTAAAGACTTTTGTGGAAAATGTCACTTATGTGGTTTTACCTTTAAACACACTATATATAACTATTTAAGACATAGAGCAAATAAAAAAATATATATTATTTTTTTTTACCTTTGCTTGGAACTTTCGTAGTGTTAACGTGTTTTATTGAATGTTAGGATGTTTGACTACTATGATATTCAATTATTTTTTGTGAAATTACTCCAATAGTTTGTTATAATTATTAATACAAGGATCGAACACTCAAAAAAAATTCATTCGATCCGGCCGGATTCGAACCGCCGCCTTCTGCAAGTGGTAGTGGCAGACGCTATGCCAACTAAGCCACGGAACGAACCAGCGGACCTCACTAATGTTTCTAGAAGAAGTTCTTTCGTAGTGGTATTTAATTTCTCTTGATCAAATGCTGAAGCCTCTTAATGACAAAAAACTTCATTACAGTTACCCGTAATTGAGTTTTTAATAAACAAAAACACAGCAATACCTAACTGTGTATCAATGTCAATGTGTCATTGACATTGTAAAAATTATATATTTTTATTTTGTTTATCTTTTCAAATGATATAATTTACAAATAGAGATAAGAGTCTTATAAACTTCGTACTTACAAGTGTATCGAGAGAGTTTGGTTACTGCGCTTTGCATACAGTCATATTAAACAGAGATCCGTTTTAGTTATTATACATAGCAAACTAATTACAATTCCTATCGCGTATATTTATTTTTTGATTAGTCAACTGTGACTATGAGACCTATGAATGAAGATCTCGAAACGTTGGTTTGTCTGAAAAAACTAATATACGCGATTTAAATCTGAAAAAAAAGCTTCATTTTCAATTACAAGTTTCAATGTTTACTTTGGCTTGTGTAGTATTTTTTTTGTAAGTCTTTTTACATTTTGAAATATTTTAATACTTTGCATACTTTTTAAGTCGGTGGACGACCGTTAAATAACGTAAATGGTTACCTATTCACGTTACGTTTTAGTAATATTGTAAAAAAAACCTAACCCAATCTTTTCTTTGCGATAATCATCCAAAATACTGAAAGAATAACAGTTTCGTTATTAAATGTCGGTTTACGGGATTATGTAAATTCGAGGAACCGTTATTTCCGGCAAATATATTTTCGGATTTCTGATCGTTTATCAAAATGCACATAATATCTAATACAAAATAATAATGAAAAACACAATGACATAATCTAGTGCCAAACTGACAACACGTGCTCTTTATTTTCGTTACTCGCGTGATTGTGTTTATTTTTACTTTTCTGCGACTTTGAATATTTTTCTACGCAGATACACAACTCACGTGTCACTTAATCGTCCCACATATTTTGGTATCTGATATTTTATAAAATATTATGAAGGAAAATAGCCGCCTAAAAATTAATCTTGTCGGTTTTATCATCGAAATGTTCAACTACACAATATCTCTACTTTTCAAAAATAATAGTTGAAACTATACTAGTTCATTTTTTACTTATTAACAGATGAGAAAAGGTATAATAAATATATTTGTTTGTGGTGTAGTCTTGGCAAAATGAAAGGATGACTCGGTCCACATAATTTATTTACAAGTAGAAACAAAAAGGCTGTAACAATAAAATTATATAAAAAAAAGTACTACCAGTATAAAACACTCCCTACTAACCGATCTAGATATACGTACCCCCTAAAGGGCCTATATACATATATCTTTTTGTATCATACTAAGTGACGACGGGACGAACAAGTCGTGCGCCTGGTGTTAAGCGACACGCCTGTCCATAACAGTTGCAGTGCCACTCAGAGCTTTAAATCGCAAAGATCTGAGGGGCACGGCCACTGCCCCCGCCATCCTAGGACATAATTTGACAAGTCCCATGTGCATGGACTCACTCTGCAAAACCGGAACGCTGCAATGCTTGCATTACTGGTTGGCGGCAGAAATAATTAAAGTGGCAATACTTCCCTGGATGAACTCTTTCAAAAGGAGCTCTACTGCTGCTAATATCTAACGATTTAACAACAGGAACTCACGTGAAGTTTGAGTTTTATATTTGGGTGATCTATGAGCACGTCCTCTGGTTTTGAGAATTTTGATGACAGTGATGACGGTACGAACCAACATAAGAATAGTGTATGTAACAGAGAATTCGCGAACGATGCAAAATTCTAAAAGTAAGCGGCCAGGAACCTGTAAAGAGGGTGATAAAAAGGTGGGATGACGATGAAGGAGGTCAGCATCGTCGCATACCTGAACTTCAATGAAGGATTTATAGACGATCTCGTTGGCTTGCACTATGGGCTCTGAACGAGGAGTAATTTTATAATTTATAACTTTATCAATATACTTTTTTTTAATTATGGGGGATTTTTTCAAATTTGATTTAAGCTTAATTAGCACGCACTTCTTCACTCAATTTATTTTAATGTCTGTCTGGACATGAAGGAAAGATATTTAAGAATCATTATTATATCTTCTTTCATAGTTCACTGTAACCCAAGCATGTAACTATATTGCCCTTTATTGTTAATTTGAGTAGTAAACCTTTATTTTTCAAATTTTCAGTATCAATCCATGATTCTGTACCACGACGAGGAGCAGCGCGAGGCAGCCGAGGCATCTTACAAGAAAATGCAAGTACGCTGCAATGGCCAGTTGAGAACGGAGATCGCCCCTGCAGGAATATTTTATTCCGCTGAAGAGTAAGCGTCAATCCTTAAAACCAAATCCAACTTAACCCATTTTATTTTCTTTCTGGATATTTAGTCTTCATACCTATACTTACTGCTACAGTTTAAAGAGAAAGTGTCGTCCCAGTTGATGCATTTAATTTTTCTTTTATTTTCTAACATTTTCTCCTTGATCGTTTTATCTTAAAATGGATATAGTTGCTATATAGGAAATAGATGAAGTCATTATTGCAAGTTATGGCAACAACTACTATTTAAAGTTGAAATGCAATGCAAATTTCAATTATGGCAACGCGATTTAATTTATTCAGGTCATGTTCAATTAATATTCGATTCGCAACAATTGTGTCAAGGATACGGCCTTTTAATAATCATTAGACTACCAATTTAATGTTGTCGACCTTTATTTATTGAATGAACGTATTATGTTATCATTCCTTGTGTTTAAATAGCTAGGTAATTAATTAAGTTCTCGGCCATTTTGTACCTATGTAATACACAGGGTCATTTTTAAAATGCTAATATTATTATATAAATAGTAATGTTACAAATATCATAAGCAACAAGTTTTGTTCTATGACTTTAATAAATAGATCGCTCTAAACGATATTAACTCTGTGCAAGACGTCGCACTTTTGAACTTGTTCTACGAAATACAGACCCAAAACGTGTCAGATAGTACACCAAAAATTAAAAAGTTTATTTTTGATAAATTTATTATGTTTTGTAAAAAGATGTGGAAAAAGTTGTTGTTTATGATGGTAATCATATAGTTCTGCGAGGTTGTTAGTATTTTTAAAATAATCCTGTATAATACCAGGTATCTAGAATTTAGAATTATAGTTACCTACTTTAAAAAGCTTCGGGATTTCTCATAATTCGTACCTTTGTATAATAAAGGAACTTGTGATCATACGTCAAAAGTGCTTTAGTCGCAAGAACATCACAAAAATAATACCTGAAATAACTATAAATTTATATATATATATTTTATAAAGTTATCGACAAATTTCGTCGTAAAATCTTTAAGCCTCTCACCTGAAAAATTGCAGATGTGACATTATTACACCAAAGGTGCAAATTACTTCAGTATGCATTCGAATTCCTCACTTTCTACCAAATATGCAATTGTATGTTTATTTCATTTGTTTATATTAATTGCGTGAAGATCATGGCTAGATTTACGATTAGAGTCACTAAGCCCGGCTAAGGGTTACGCCATGTCGGAGGATGCTCAACGTCAAGAGACACGCACTGAATGAAATATTAATAAAAAGTATTTAAAAACAATGTTAGGTCTAGGAGAGTTCAAATCTAGTCCTGGTGAAAAAAAAAATGTGAATATAATAATCCATTGATAGGTCGTTTTAGAGATGTTTCCAAAGACCCTGATGATAACCTATACTCAGTTTTTAAGCAGGGCTTGTAAACCTTTTTCTTAGGAAATTTATAATATGATAGAAAAGTCACTATTTTTCGGATTTAAGGCCGAGAAAAAAAGCAAAGTTTTAGGTTGTTTACAGTTCCCACGGCTGACTCAGCTTCAGCCATAAACCTCTTTGAAGCTATTTCTAATGCTAAAAAAACCAAAGTATACACAGGATACAAAGTATACAAAGTATTACATTTACTATAAAAGTACAAACCATATACATAGAATAATAATAATAAACTCAGTACAGTGGACTAAAGACACCAACCTTAAAAGTTCGTGAAATTACTTGTCAAGTTCTATTGAAATCGGTTACCGGAAAGTTTCAACCTCTAGTTTACCACCCTTAGAGATGGAATATTTTCTTCAAATTTACATGGTACCTACGGAAGTCTTTCCAACAAAAAAAGAATCGTGAAAATCGGTTCACAAATGCCATGGGTTATCGCGTAACATACATACAAAAAAAACGTACAGGCGAATTGAAAAACTCCTCTTTTTTCGAAGTCGGTTAATAATAAGATATTTATTCACTCACACAAAAGGAAGCTTTGTGTAAATACAGATTGGCTATTAGATAAAGTGCAAGTTAACTACCCTAAGCGACCCTGGAGTGTATACTAGTTAATTAGATCTGGGTTACAGATCTACAGGCACCCACCCGTTATGTATCGAATAAAGTGCACTAAGTACCGAACCATTACAACAATATATTGCAAGCTGCACCACAAACTTACTATTCATATTTTTGTCTACAGTTACCACCAAAAGTATCGCCTTCAAGGTCACAAGGATCTATGCCGTAGTATCGGCCTGGATTCGGCTAAGCTCCAGACGTCGCACCTCGCAGCACGACTCAACGGCTATTTAGTAGGAGTCGGCGGCAAATCGCAGTTCGAAGAGGAAGTCGGCAAATTAGGACTAAATGAGAAACAGGCAGATTACGTTAGACGAGAGCTCGAGCGCAATGAGGGTGGTGGTTTGGCGTGCTAGCTGCATTCCCGTAAGGGGGAAGATTTGCGTTGTATTATCCTTTAATCTTAGTGATCATTACATGATTAGTTATGCAAAAACACATACAAATAGTTAAAAGCCTTTACACATATTTTTTAGTGTTTTGTTAATTGTTTTGGAACTGCTATTGTAGCCTATTCTTTGGATCTTAATTACGTATGTTTGTTTTTCAAACTAATCCAACATTTCCGACCTTTTGTAGGTTGACCATTAGGTCACGGGTGGTCAAAGTCAAAGTCAAAGATTATTTATTCCATAGGTAAAATAAATTTACACCTGAAAACGTCACATTTAAGCTACTGCTCGTTCACTACGCTGACCTCCCTGAGAAGAACGAGCAAGAAACTCTAGGGATTGCTCTTTTCAAATAAACGTAAATGCTATGGAATATACTTTGAATAAAATTTGTGTGGATTCTGGAGCCGTGTCATCTTTCCATACATCTTTATCTAACGCGTAGTCTTCAATTGTGTAATATGATTTTTCGATCAAAATATTTTTAATGTAGTTTTTAAACTTAGGAAATGATAAACTTAATATATGCTCCGGAATTTTATTGTAAAAACGTATACAGTTCCCCATAAAAGAGTTGTTTACTTTGGTTAAACGAAATCGTGGTACCATGAGTTTGGCTTAGCTTTAAGGTTAATATTATGGCGCTGGCGGACCTGTGAAGAGTTCGATACGTTGGTTTTATTTGAAAATACCAATATACCCGATTTAGATCTCAAAAATAGTTATTTGTTATGCAAAGTTGTTGTTTGACGCGAGTGCTTGTGTTGACACCTGAGCAAGAATGACTCTAAGATTAAACCACGAGCGAAGAAAGTCTCGCTTCGTTCGTTATCCAAAAATTGAATCCTGAGCGTAGCGAGGGTTTCAAGGCACGAGACGCAAAACAACTTTGCTGCCAAGCGAAACACACAACTTTTCACCTCACTATAGCGACGAAAATGGTTGATGAAAGAAAAGCAGTTGAACCATAACAAATCAGTTTTAATAAATATAATTAATTATCGTTGTCAATTTAATGTCAACAATAATAAGTTTAAAATATACCAACGGATTTATAGTACATAAATAATGTGTGACAAATCAAGTAGTCGAACGTGTTATTATATTTTTTTTTCCATCGAAAGAAAATGTTGGGTGCACTACACTCCATCGTCAAGTTTGAATTTCAAAAACCTTTTCCACTAGCGTGGACAAAAACGTTTTTGCGCGCAGATTTCTAATGACAAGAAAGCCTTTCCGAGCTAGTGAGGTAAAAAATAGTTTTTTACATTTTCCAATGTATAGCAGTCGATAAACCCTAAAATCTTGCTATTGTAGAGTCAAGTAACATATGTAGTGTGAAACAGGCTTTTGTTTCATACTATGTTACTTGACTCCTACGCAGTTACCCTTACTCGAACTAAATTTATATTAACCCGTCACGCCTCTTGTTGACGTAAATGTGTCCGTAACGATATCGGTAAAAATTTTTTTTTTTTATGTGGTGCAGAAAAACACTTGGATATACCGTGTTGCTTTTGGACGCTTCGGTATCAAATTCGCTAGGGAAACCGTATTCCAACGTGGAAACGTGACAGGTTATGGTGCTTTCAGAAAACGTTTACTGTAATTTTCATTGCCCTTTGAAATCTTCAAAGTACAAATCTACCCCAAAATTTTGTTGTCTCCAAAATTTCCTTCATTAGAATGTAAGTCGAAGTTTACTAGGAAACGTTAGCAAATATTTTTAGAAAATTTATTGCATGACAATGAAAAGAACATATTCTTAAGTAATGAGTCAAGACACGTCAAGTTCGACACTTAGAATTTTAATTTCAACTCTATGCCGCTTACAATAAGAACGGTCCAAGACACGGAAGAAAAATCAATAGAAGAACCTTAACAAACCTATTTCTATCATAACCGCTGTCGCCAAAACTCACACTATTATAATGTTAAACACTCTTGTTCTGTGATCTAAAATATAAAGTGTCAAGCATGATCTGCACTTCACTTTACATTTTTAAATTTCATATGTTTATCTAGTAAACTGGAACCTTAGTTAAATTATCCGATTAATGTTAGAAAACGCCAAGAAGTGAAGCATTTTTTTTGTTAATTTAGTATATAAGTTTGTAATCATTTAACACTGATACGTATAAAAATATGAAGTAGGACTCGTTCATTCATGCTACCAGTGAAGATTAAAAATGTCTAAGCAGTATTGGGGTGTTAGTTTTAATCATAAGTAAAAAATTATATAGTTTTCAAAGTGTTTTGAAAATACTATTCTATATCTTAATATTTCCATTCTCAATAATAAATAAATGTTATATATGTAATGTTGTTAGTCATCACCAAGACGATTATGCTATTGTTACAATTTTATTGTAATACATGTATTTTGTAAAGAATAGAGTCTTTTTGCTAAGCCTTAATTATTAGTACCTACATTAACAGTTTGCTACCTACCTGCGATTAACTGTGTCTATACTAAAGTATACGGGATATTTTTTCACAAATGTAGAAGTAACGTCTGATATGAAACGTTACTTCTTTTGTTTGCTAATGCTAATAATATTTTTGTCAAATTTAGCGTAGAAAAACACGGTGATCATTTTACATAAATGCGTCTTGACGACCTCCATGGTCGAGTGGCTTGCACACCGGTTTTCACGGTGTCGCCATGTCTGAAGTCCCAGAATCGATTACCGGTTGGCTCAATGTGGAAAAAACTAACTTTTCTATATTGCCTCGGGACTGGGTGTTTGTGATACCGTTATTATTTCGCATTTATATATCTCAAGTGCTTTAGTTACGTTATATTCGAAACGACTTTGTGATGTTGTTTAATAAATTCTTTTATTGGGTACATTAATACCATAACTAGAGATGTGTTACCACACACAGTGATCCTAAAATCATAATCTGTAGGGCTAGCATAGCAGGACGCGAATTGTGCGAGAGCGGCATGAAACACGAGAGATTGCTATTCTCTATGCGAGAATTACAGTTTATCGCGCTTTATGTCGCTCTCGCGCAAGTCGCCCTATCATGTTAGTATTTCTGATGGTATTTTGATAGGTAGTAACGGTGATCGATGTGAAATCGGCTATAGTATATATCTTTCAGGTGTTTTAAAAACACTAAAAGCATGTTTAAATCAATCTTTGTGTTCATTTCTTAAATAAACCATCATGAAAAATCAATCACATAAATATAAACGCTCTTAATTTTAAACTAATACATAAGAATGGAGTCTTCGCAAACGTTCCCTAATTAATTTTAATTGTACGGAAATATTTTATTAAAATATGACCTGATGTGAATTCAATAAAATAAAACAAATTTTGTCACGCCGATATTAAGTACGCCGGTCAAGTTCATTGGCGGCAGCAGCCGGCGTGGCGACGTGACACACAAATAACATAATTTTAGAACATCTACCTACATTACGTTATATTCTTAAACGAATATTATAAAACAGCGCCCCCTTTACACAACTTTTAGAACTACTTTGGTGCCTAAATAAGGTACTACTCACGAAGTTATTTTATCGCACATTAGGGATCACGTGTGGATCGACAGTGTTTTTATCAACTCGTACCATTAGAGGGCGCGGTTTTATAATTTTAATAAAAAACAACGAAATCTAGATTTTTTTAAACATTTTATAGAGTCATTGTTTAATCAATTTCAGTTCGAAACTATTTGCTTCAGAGTTGTAAAACAAATAGAATAACTACGTGATGTGGAACTCGGGTTTTGTTTTTAAGAAACCTTTTTAAATAAGAAGCTTTATAATCAGCTCAAGAAAAGTTTTCATAATAGTATTATTTATTTCTAATCACATTACAACATTACTTCAACATGTAACTTTTTTGTAGGAAATGTAGCAGCCGATCTCTAAAGCACCTGTCTGCGCCACCGCACAAAAGCGAGGAAACGCGTAACGTTAAAAAACGTTCTTATTTAATGTATAATATAATGTTATATAATAAAGATAAAGATAAATTTATTCTGTATAAAAAATTTCACCTAAATACATTAAATATAAAACATAATATTGCTTTTTTAAGTGTTGTTGTGAGTATCTAACCCGCGAACATGAAATTGCTACCCAAATTATAGTACTTACGCACGTACTACAATCATCATTATTGTCATCAACCCTTTATACGTCCCACTGCCGGACACGGGTCTCCTTTCAGACGAGGATTTTTAGGCCATAGTCCGCCACGCTGGCCCATTGCGGGTTGGGGACATAGCACAAAAATAAATGAAATCATAGTCATCACACTTACTCCTAAATGGTAGGATTGCGTGGTGGCTAACTTGACTATAGTGCCCCAAATAAAACCCACGGCCCTTTTTTCTTTCCATTACAGCCATTGTCGGTAAGGAGTTTTTTGAATTTGTAGTTTGTAGCACGACACACTTTTTAATCTATTTATCACGACATAGTTTGCCCACAGCTCTGTTCCAAATGTCAGAATGGAGAGCAACTCAATACTGATGACTTCGTCCTTCATGGCATGTGTTTCAGGACTTCTGTAACTAGACTACTAGTAATTATTTATGGATTGATAAATGTTATTATTGTGCAATAATACACTCTTTGCAAACACCTGAAGAATTATTGACCTTTGTCTATCGTATTCTACTCCATAATATAGGCTGCGCTTTTAATAAATTGTGTTAGGAATTTCTAAAATAACCCTTGAACCTACTAGAGCGTCACTTGACACCGGTTTATTTTAACAAATCTTTGTATTTCTTAGCATTGAGGACGGTAGCACGAAGGACTATTCTGGATAGAAACGTCTGATCAGGCGGTTGTTAGAAGAAGTTTTTTTTTATAATACTAAGTGACGGGACGAACATGTCTTGCACCTTTTTTTTTTTTTTTTTTTTTTTTTTTTATGCCAGGTAGTAGGCAAACGAGCAGACAAGCCACTTGATGGGAGGTGGTCATTGTCGCCCATGGACACGAGCAATACCAGAGGCATCACCCATGCGTTGCCGACTCCGGAGAACCTTGTTTACACGTCTTTTGAAGAACTCCATGTTATAGCGCAAGGGGAACACTTCAGGAGGAAGGCCATTCCACATCTTACTGGTTCGGGGAAAGAACGAACGAGATGCTCGAGTGGTCGTGACGTGCCAAGCATCGAGGAAGTGGGGATGGAGTCTTCTCCTTCGGCGGGTCGTGCAGTGGTAAAAGAGTGACGGAGGCACCAACTCAAAGAGTTCGTCTGAGCACTCCCCGTTATACAGACGGTAGAACACACATAGAGAGCCAACATCTCTCCGCAAACTAAGGGGCTCTA